GGGGAGGTCTCCTCTGGGTGGGCCTCCCTGCACTGCACCCCTCCCCCTTCCCCCACAGCCACCAGGCACCTACGGGCGACACCCTGTCACGAGGGGCTGTCTTGGGGTTGTCTGGCCTGGGACTAGGCTGAGAGGTGCTGAGGCACATAGAGATCTGGCCCCACGGGACTAAGAGCAGCAGTTCTAAAGCCTCTGGGGTCGGGGCCCTTTGCTGTTGCTTGTCCTAGCTGAGCCGAGAGGCCGCGAGCAGATCGGGCAGCTTTGTGCTGCCACCCGGAGGCACAGCCCGTCCTGTGGGGAGGTTTGCTGCTGAAATAGACAAAGGGCAGACGGGAGGGCTGCGAGGCCCGTTTGACAGGCGGGACCCAAAGCTCGGAGGGATGAGGTGACCAGGGACGTGCAGGGGAGGGGGTAGCAGAGCAAACCCAGCCTGTGCCACCTCCCTTCTGTTCTGGGGAACACTAGCCAGGAGGAACCCCTGGCCCAGGGGGCATTTATAGTGATTGCACCCTAAACCACAACCCCCCCCCCGCCACGGCTGCCAAGTGCCCCCAGCCCCCATGCTCTGCCCTGCAGGGGGCTGGGAGGTGCTGCCAGGCACCTGGGTGGAGCGAAGATGCTGCCGGGTCAGTGCTGCCGGGCCTGCCCCCCTAGAACCGGCACTCGGCTCCAGGAGCCTGCCCACTCCTGCCAGGAGCCGGGTGGCTCTTCCAGCTTGGAGCCAGGGAGCGACTGGAGCGGCCACAGCCTGGTCCTGCAGAGCCTTTGGGGGGCCGGCTGAGGTGAGGAGGGTCCACCCGCCTGGGGCAGGCTCTCCAGGGTCAGGTGCATCTCCGCTGGGCGGGCTGACTGGCCCCTCTCAGCAGGGCAGCCGCATCTTCCGGAGGGAACGGGTGCAACTCCGCCTGCCTCGGTTGGACTCCTGGGCCGGCCTGCACGGGGCAGCGGGGCTGCTACCGGGACCCCCAGCCACGTATGGCAGAGATCTGGAGCCCTAGCCCAGGCACCCAGCAGAGTGAGCGTGTGGGGGCTGGGCCCGCGGGGGGAGGGGAGCTCTGGGGAGCCACGTGAGTCTGTATTTTAAAAAAACCTAAGAACCGCGGAATGGTCCGAGAGACGGAATCCACAGACCCTGCCAGGAGCCCTCGAGGGCACAGCCCACGTCCTCCCAGGAGAGGGCAAGGGCACAGAACCCCCAGCATTTCAAGCCGAAAAAGAGGGGAGGGGGAGGGGGAACTTCCCCCACCCATTAAAGTGTCCGTGCTGAAGGAGGGCAGCAGAGGGGGCTGGAAGTGGCCCTGCGTGGCCGTTGCTGTCAGCTGGCTGTGGAAGAGAAGGGCCCGCCCCGTTCACGTCTTCGTGCAAGCCCTGGCTGGAGGTGTCCAGCTGGCAGGGGAGGGCCGGCCCCCCCGCCTCTCGGGCCCCTTGCTTCCCGAAGTGACTTGGCGCTAGACTGGGCAGCGTTTAAACCCCTTCCCGTTCTGCTTTGGGGGTTCTGCGCCTCTTGCCCCCCCCGGCTGGGCCCACGAATGCTCATGACACGCCCTGGATGTAGAGTGGCTGGGGAGGGAGTAACATGGGGGCAGGGGCGGTGCTGGAGAGCAGAGGGGAGGATGTTGCAGCCATTCCCTAGGGACGGCCACTGGCTGGCACCGCCAGGCCCAACGGGAATGAAGCCCATCAAAGGGGGCACGCGTTACCCCCATTTACTGAGGCACGGAGCGGGTGAGTGATTTTCCCAAATCTGAAGAGGAGCTCATTGGCAGAGGGAGTCGAGCGCCTGGCTTGCCTCTTTCCCGGGTGGAGATCCTGCCTCGGAGGGGGCTGGAGAAGAAAGATCCCAGTGAGCAAGGGGCTGGGCGGGGCGAGGAGCTGCCGAGGAGGGGCCGGGGGGTGCACAGCGTACAGGGTAATACACCAGCCCTCCAAGCCGGGGCTGCAGCCAGGAGGGAAGCCTCAGGGTCACTGCTCAGCTCCCTGGCGCAGGGGAGACCTCGCCCCTTCAGTGGGAAACGCCCCTGCAACTGGGAGACCTGGACGCCAGGGGGCAGCCCCCAGAACTCCGAGAGGGAGACGGGGTTGGACGTTTTGCTTTGCCCCGCGCTCTCAGACTTCGCTGGGTCTGCAAAGCCCTTTCCAAGCAGGTCCTGGCGTTTCCTCACGACGCCGTGGGGGGCGGGCAAGGATCATGATCCCTGACACATCGATGGGGAAACTGAGGCACGGAGTGGTGATTTGGCCAGATTCATATTGGTGCTAGGAACAGAATCCAGGTGTCCTGACTGCCCAGTCCTAGCACCCTAACCACTAAACCAGGCTGCCTCCCTTTTCTTGCTTCGGGGGGTTCCTGGCGTTTCCTCACGACGCCGTGGGGGGCGGGCAAGGATCATGATCCCTGACACATCGATGGGGAAACTGAGGCACGGAGTGGTGATTTGGCCAGATTCATATTGGTGCTAGGAACAGAATCCAGGTGTCCTGACTGCCCAGTCCTAGCACCCTAACCACTAAACCAGGCTGCCTCCCTTTTCTTGCTTCGGGGGGTAGCGGAGTTAGTCTGTACAGGTAAACTGAAAAAACAACAAATAGTCTGGTAGCACTTTATAGACTCACAACACATGTCGGTGGGATCGGGGGCTTTCGTGAGCACGGCCCACTTCTTCAGATAGCCG